TCGCTCTATATCACGCACCTGACTATAACACGCACATAGTTTTTAGAGGAGGAAAACAAGAAAAAAAATTCTGAATGAAACAGTGGATGTATGATTTTTGTGGTGCATGCTGTGGCCACAGACATGTGATTTGATTGTGAGTTTGGGGTAGCCCAATGCAAAAATCCTGAGGATCCACGTTTTAAGTGGGGAGGGAAGGAAAAACACTCAAGGGACAAGGAGCACGAGAGGGGTGTGCAGCTGGCTAACAATGCAGGAGAGGGGTTTAACGGGAGGGAGGAAAGGAAGGCAAAAGTTCCCCCCCAAGCCAGCTCTCTCTCTCTCTCTCTCTCTCTCTCTCTCTCTCTCTCTCTCTCTCTCTCCCCCCCCCACCTGCATGTTTTCCGGCTAGGCATTACCGGTAATTCCAATGGGCCTACTCTGAGTAAAATTTAGTTGAATACAACCCACTGTTTCCCATCATTGCTGCCACTACTTTGGTGACATTTTGTTTCCCAGGCCGTTCCTTCTGCCTACTTCCTAGATTAGTCACACGATTGATTCCTCACAATCTGGGATCACACAGTGACTAGGATAATGTCACATGGCTAAGTAACCAATCAGATTTGCCTACATGATGTTGTCACTGAGAGCAAGCAAAGTCAATGAAGAGCGAGAGCAAGCGAGTATGCTTTTGTGGAGTGCCAAAATATACTGTTGAAAAGGGGAGGGTTGGGGTTTTTTTGCCACTGCTGTACACGTTCATAAAAATACAGGAGCAGTCTGAGTTTGTGCAGAATATTTTGGGTTTTCTAAGCAAGACCTGTGGCAAGGGTGGGGCTTATGGTAAAAATCACAAAACACACTACAATTTGATTTAATGTCTGAACTGGACAAATTCATAGAGAAAAGGTCAGGTTTTAACTAATGGGCAGTTAACCCTTTAAAAACTGTATTGATTACAGTCACAGACCAATATAATTTGTTACACTCGAATAATATGCATTAAAAATATATGGATGAATTTACTGAAGAACCAAAAAAAAAGAATTTCTCACTTTGCCATCTGCTTCCACATTTATATTAAAGAGACAAGGAATTTAGCTACCTTATATGTAACATAAATAGAATTGACGATTACGCAAAGATATCACAGTTTCAGTGGATCTTCTTGTTGAGTTCTTAATAAAGGGGGTGGAGGCACAGGCTCTTTGGGCTCCGTATACAAATTGCAGTGTCTTTCTGATTTCACAAACATGAAGTCATTCACCAAGAAGAGTCTTATTGTACTGGAGGGCAGAGCCAAGGAAAACTACTTGGCCAGAGGCTGAACAGCTCTGAGAACTACCGTATTTTTTGCTCTATAAGACTCACTTTTCCCTCCTAAAAAGTAAGGGGAAATGTGTGTGCGTCTTATGGAGCGAATGCAGGCTGCGCAGCTATCCCAGAAGCCAGAACAGCAAGAGGGATTGCTGCTTTCACTGCACAGCGATCCCTTCTTGCTGTTCTGGCTTCTGAGAGTCAGAATATTTTTTTCTTGTTTTCCCCCTCCAAAAACTAGGTGCGTCTTGTGGTCTGGTGCGTCTTATAGAGCGAAAAATACAGTAGTTTCTGGGAGACAAATAATGGTGAAGCACTGTTGTTTTTCTGCCTTTCCAGAGAAGCAGCCTAGAGATGTCTGACTGGCTACTGTACCAACAGGAAATACTGGGTGAGGTAGATTCAGAAGGCCCCATATTATGCTTTTGTTATTCTGGAAGTGATCTACTTTACTTCAATAGGTTGTCTATCAAGGATGCGGTTTATAGCTACGGTTATGGAAAACATCAGTGCTGCGAAATTGCCGGAAAGCCTTGAGAGCATTTTAGTGCAAGAGTGTAAATGGCATGGTCCCTTTGTCTGTTAACAAACCCGGAACAGGAGCAGCTACACAAATATTCCCTTATTATTTTAAAACTGAAGTCTATAACCTCACCCTCCACCACCGTGCTCATGAATTCTTTTATTCTGGAAGACAGTTTGCTTTTATTTCACAATTCCTGAGCCAATGTAACATCTGAAACTTCGAGGAACAGCAGCACGACAACCCAGCTGTTTTTAAAAGCCTTGTGGCTATGTGTGCCTATTGATGTGGAATATTGCCTTTATCCTGGTTTGCCCTCATGTTGTGATTCCTTAGAACTGGTACACACATATGGATCCCTTGCCTACTTTTCTGCACTTGATTACCGCACAATAGTTGACTAGCCTTGAATCACACCTTATCTCTGGAGCCAGTTGTGGGTTTCTCTGCGGAGAAACTCTACTGTGGAGAGAAGGACGCCGTGTTTTGATGTATCACATGAAAACAAACACTGCATTCATTCATTCATTCATTCAATCATTTGTTGGTATTGGGCCACCCCCTTTATTCTGCATAAATTTACTGCCACTCCTACCCATAATCTTATTAATTTGGTGTACAGAAGAGAAACCGTAAAAACCTACAGAAACAGTTCAATAATATCAGATTCCAGATCTTCAACAGGATAGCCTACCACGTTAAGTGTAGCCTATTTCAAGAGCATTTCTTTCAGCTAAATTGAAGAGGGTTTGTCATTTCCTGAGTGTGGACACTGGCCACCAAAAGAAGGACTTTTGACTGTAAAAAGGTATTACAGAAAGGTCATAGGGTTGCTACCTTTTCACGTGGCAAATTGTGGACAATTCAGACTGCAGCCGTAAGCTCACTTACCTGGGAGTAAGTCCCACTAAAACTCTGGGACTTACTACTGAGCACTTATGTGTAAGTCTGTCAGGAACCATGTCAGTCAGCACAACAAGAAGAACATCAAGGCGCTTATTATTTATCAGCAAGTATTATAATAACAGAAGTACAGGGTTGAAGAAACATCTAAAATACCTGCCTGCAAAGGGGTGGGAAGCTCTTGCTGCCTGGAAGCAGTGGCTCATGAAGAGATACAATATGGAGCCTCCTCTGCAGGTTATTTTTCTCTCTGCCATGCCCCAACATTTCATTCTGTCAGGACTAACTCAGAATGAGAGACCACTTCCTCTGACAGTATCACTGACTCTCACCTAGGGCCATTGGTTGTAGACAACTGAGCCTGAGACCACAAGCCCAGGAAATTTTAAAATAAAAACTAATTTAAAAAATAGTCCAGGAAATGATGGCCCATCAGAGCTGGCAGCCAATCCAGGGTATAACAATAAAATAATGAACAGGGTGGTGATACAATGACCACTGCAATCAACACAAGATAATATCACCAAGGCAACTATCTGTAAACAAACAATAAACATCCATAAATATGGATGAACTCTTTATTTACTGTGTTTGCTATTGCTTAAGATAAAAACTCTCCTTCATGGATTACTGTATGGAAGTGACAGCTGGACCATAAAGAAGGCTGATTGCCCAAGAATTGATGCTTTTGAATTATGGTGCTGGAGGAGACTCTTGAGAGTCCCACGGACTGCAAGAAGATCAAACCTATTCCATTCTGAAGGAAATCAGCCCTGAGTGCTCACTGGAAGGACAGATCCTGAAGCTGAGGCTCCAATACTTTGGCCACCTCATGAGAAGAGAAGACTCCCTGGAAAAGACCCTGATGTTGGGAAAGATGGAGGGCACAAGGAGAAGGGGACGACAGAGGATGAGATGGTTGGACAATGTTCTCGAAGCTACCAACATGAGTTTGACCAAATTGCGGGAGGCAGTGGAAGACAGGAGTGCCTGGCGTTCTCTGGTCCATGGGGTCACGAAGAGTCAGACACGACTAAATGACTAAACAACAACAAAGATAAAAACTATTTGGGGAAAAAAAGTACTTTGCCATTTTTATGGACGTTTATTGTTTGTTTACAGATAGTTGGCTTGGTGATATTACCTTGTGTTGATTGCCAATCGGGGGGCAGTGTACCCTTGACTGGTCCTCAGCACCACCTCCATACCCTCTAATATCTCCCCTAAAAAATTACTCTGTGCAGAAGCCTAGAGCCAAAGGGATAATGACCATGTAGTAGCAGGAAGCGTCATATTCCGGAGACTGGAAGGAGGAAGACAGAGCCACATGCTCCAGAGCAAGGTTAACACTCCCAAAAAAGAAAAAAGAAAAAAGGGATAGGCAGCAGAGTGAGTAATAAACCGGCACAATTTGTGCTTAGCAGTCACAGGTGCAACATCTACTTCTCCTCAGCAATTAGAGATCCTTTAGATCTGCTGGACAGCTCCCTGTCACCAGTAATAAGACAGCCATCTGAGCCAAGCAACAGTGGTGTCTGGGGTTGAGTTCTTTCCACATCAGTAAGGATTGAATGACCCCAAACACCACCATAGGCAGAGATGTGGTTGACTGGAAGCAAGCAAGGTCTACTTAATCAGTCAAAGATATGGCAGGCAAGATGTCACTATGAAGTTGAATGGGTGCTTCATTATAAATTCATTTCTCACAGCAGTTCTTTCATGGCACTCAGTTTGGGAATTACTAAGTTGGCTGTGGCAATTATGGTAGCACTGAGTATCACCATTTGTCTTTAGATTATTAAAAGCTAAAATTGGAAAACCGGCCACTAATGCCTGATTATCCTTAGAACTCTTTATTATCTAGCGCAACAATTTCTGTTTTCAGCATGGCACACAAAATTACAGTATAAATTGCAAAATCTACAAAAGAGATTATGGTGATTATTAAAAAGTTCTTTTTTTGTTGCCCACAGAAGCTCTTTTTCACAAAACACTTATTTGGGACACTGTCAGCACCACTAATTGCAATTTGTGGGGAAACACACGCTTTTGCAGAAATTATGGGCAGACTGTCTCCGTAGTATGTTTGCTACATATTGTCACCCTCTGTGTCCGGTGCTCATTGCCCTGTGTTGTTTAACATTAAGAAGAGAAAGTGGATGTTGATAACTTTTAAAATGTAAAATAAAAATATTATTTAAAAAGCGAGTGAAAGAACATATTTCCATGAGCATCTTAATAGGCAAAACGAATGTTATCTGGTGACCATACTCACCTTTTCCAGTAGTTGTCTAAGCTGCTTGCTTTTGGCATCTCTGGAGCAAAGGTTTTGTTCTGGAGCAACCACAGTGCAAATACATCTTCCATCTGGGTCTTGGGCAGAACTATAGACTTGCCAGCCTTCTTTGGGGCTGATTTGAGTCTGTGAACAAGAAGTAATGGGACACTATAATAAACAAGCACAGAACGGAGAGAAAGAGAAATGGGGTTTCATTGGCAGATAGCCATTTACCGTATTTTTTGCTCCATAAGACGCACCTGACCATAAGACGCACCTAGTTTTAAAGGGGGAAATGCAAGGGGGAAAAAATTCTTTAAAGGGAGCGCTGAGCAGAGCCTGTATGCATCCCAGGCTCTGCTCAGTGCTCTCTTTCATGAGCCGCGTGGAGTGTGTGTGCGGCGCTTGTAGGCTTTTCCCCGAGGAGGGAGAAGGGCAGCCTGTCTGCGCGGCTCTTTAAAGGGAGCGCGGCTCTTGCTGGCTTTTGCGGGAGGTAGGGGAAGGGACAGAGCGTGACTAAGCCAGAAGCTAGAACAGTGAGAGGGAGCTCAGCGATCCCTCTTGCTGTTCTGGCTTCTGGGATAGCTGTACAGCCACTTCAGGGCAGCGGGATGAAGGCTCCCCCACTGGCCGGAAGAGGCTGCGCACGGCTAAGCCAGAAACTAGAACAGCGAGAGGGAGCTCAGCGATCCCTCTTGCTGTTCTGGTTTCTGGGATAGCTGTGCAGCCCGCATTCGTTCCATAAGACGCACACACATTTCCCCTTACTTTTTAGGAGGGAAAAAGTGCGTCTTATAGAGCGAAAAGTATGGTGTTTATTTATTAAATAGAATCTGTACAGTGTTCCATTGCACAAAATCTCTTAAGTAGTTTACATAAAATTACAGACAAAGCGTGTTCTCACTAAAGGAGAGCACGTGTTGCGGATGGGGCCTAGCAAGACACCCCGTAGTTGCCAGGCAGGATAAGATAGAGGGGCCTGGCAAGGATTGGCTGTTTGTGTTGCTGGGGTAAAATTGATGTTTCCAATTTGGGGGTGGGAACAGAGGTTATTTAAACAAGGTTCACAGCAGCTGCTTTTTCTTTCGATGTGGGAACCGGATCACCCGCCCGCCCTCCCTTTTGGGCTTGTGCTTTGACCTTGCTATGCCTGTCATGGGGTCGTCCACCTTGGTGCGGGGGCCTGGTAGGAATTTTTCCATTTGGCTGATTAGTGTGTGCCATTTGGTTTTTGCCTACTGCGTAGCAAATCGTCACAACTTGTAAGGTTGGCGGTTAGGCATTGGTTTAAATTGGTTGGTGGAGGGGTATGGATTGGCTGTGCCTGCCCCTCCAATGCTGCTGCTGCATGGGAATTCCGTTAAAGGAATTCAGGGGCTTACCATTCTTTCATCCAAACCCCTGGAATCGGGTGCGGGCCGCGTAAGCCCCTGGGAGCATGCGGGGAGAAGCTGAGGGTCTGTGCCGCAGCTCCAGTTATCCCTGATCTTGTTCCTCCACACTGGCTCTCGCTGGAATCCGGGAGTCAGTGCTGTCCCCCAAGGCGGGGGGGGGGACGGGACAGATAGTCATAACCAATGCCTAAGCAACCACTCACAATTTGTATGTTTAATAAAGTTGTGGCCAAAATTATGCCAAAAACCTTAAACAAAAATTTATGAGTGATGTGTGAGTTATTGGGGTAGGGGTGTTTTGGGGGACCTCAGCACGCAAAAACCAGCAGTTTAAAAACAGTTTGACCTAAAAAATTCAAAAAAGTAAAGCCAGCGGTTTAAAATATATTATATCAAAATACACGCCAGCTTTACCATAGCAGGGTAGGCTTGCTTGAACAAAAAGGTTTCTAGCACGCATTGAAAGAAGTACAGCAAAGTATAGCCTAATCTCATCTTTTCCAGAAATGGCAATTTACTCTAAGAAAGATCTGTGCCGATGATATATTACAGTTGCAGTTGGTGCCATCTCTATGGCCCTTTTCAGATCAATCCCTCCATGTGGTCGGTGAATATGTATGGAGGGAACAGAAGACGCCTCAGGCTTATGTTAGTACACCCATTGGCTGTTCAGCTACATTCACTTAGTGTAGGCATGTCCAACTCCCAAGAGACTGCGATCTACTCCCACTTTAAAAAACCTGGTAGTTATCTACCCATTGGATTGACCAAAGTTGTTGAGCTTTTTTGGGGGTAGGAAGACCCAAAGTTGTATCGAAATGTTGGACAGCCCTGACTTAGTGGGTACTTTGCTGCATTCAGCAAGATGTTCTGATGTCAGAGGCATGGCAAAGAGGCACCAGTTGTGCTTCTTGTGCCTCATTAGTGCTGTGGCTGGCAGGGCTGAAGCTGGGACCTTGTGTCTGCAAAGCATTATTCTCCCACCAAGCTGTGGTGTCTCCTTACTTCCGTCAGAGGAACCAGATGACCTAGAAGAGCAGCGCTACAAAGCTTTCATATGGAACGGAAATCTCTAAAATACCTGCACCCCAACATCCATAAAAAGAAAATGAAACAATTCACCCTTTGTGCCTTTTTAATTTCTATTCAAAAAGGGCAGAGGTCCTGATCCAGCAAGGAATATCCGAATGCACAAGGCTTACTTATAGCCTGCTTATGTGAGTTAAGAAATGAGAGGTTATTGTTTCTCCTCTCACTGCTCACTAAGGGCCAAAGCAGACCTTACTTTAATTGTGTTAGTAATCATGCTTCACCCTGATTTCGACCCTGGAGATGGAGCCATGGTGAACAGGGCAGTTTTTCATTGGATGGGTTGCGTGTTCCACTATGTGAATATCTGGGCAAGGATTTGGACACTAAACCCCTGTTTTGCTGCATAAGTTTGCAGAGCACAATTTACCCCATGTGGAATGATGGCTGGATCAGCACTTAACTTCAGCTTGGTCAAAGGAGCTTGTTTGCTGAAAGGCGGAGTGAAAAGCTGACAATAAATAAAGAATGAAATAAAATAAATGGCAGGCCATGCATGTCATGCAAAGCTGATCCAGACTTTGACCTGTGATTGACACTCATGCCCACACAAGATGCAAGGTGTGATGTTTTTCTAACTGCAGAAGAGGAACCACAACCTCACAAGTGTCTTCTTCTGTGATGTTACCACTTTAACTACTGATGGATCATTATACTCTGGTAACTTTGGCATCACTCCTGGACATACAAGAAATGCAGACTAAGTTGTAGCCTTCGCAACTGCCAACTGTCCACAGACACAAAAGTGACAGCACAACTCAGACCCAAAACAAATTGCCTAATAAAAGCATTAGACAAAACCATTCAACACACCCAAGACACAACAGAGAAAGCATGCATTGAGCTAGAAGTTAGCTTTTAAGTGACACAGTACAGTATTTCTAGCACAGATGTGCAGTTATGTTTTAATTGTTTTAGGAAAAAGATAGCATTGACATCTTTTGTTTTAAAAAACGAAGAAGAAAGGTTTACATGTCTACAATTATTGGATTGCACACTGCTTGGCTTTTCTTAGGGTTAATCTCACGCAGCCCTCCCTAGACACAAGGCAGCAAAGGCTTTGAACGAGATGATTTAAAATCATCGCAGAAATGTGAAGAAACAAGACTGCGAGGCATTTTTCTACCTCCAAAACCTTTCAAGCCTCAGAGGACTTTGTGAGGTAGAGAGTAGATATTGCAAAGCAGACCAGTCATTAGTAGAGCTGAAAATAGATCTGGGAAGCACGCTGGTTTTAAAAAAGTCAGTGTCAAATTAAAATGTCTCACCTAGACTGGATATGCAGAGGCAGCAGAAAGTGAGGGTAGAATCCTAGTGGCAGTGGAACAGATGGAACGACTCTGGACTGTGGCGATAACAACATCTTTTAATGTTCCTCTACAATTAAAACCAAACTCTCTCACTGCAAGCAGAAAACTAGCACAGTAGCTGGAGGGAGAGGCAAGCTCCTCCGTCCTGATGTGCTAGTTATCTACTTGCAGGGAGCTTTTACATGAGGGAACATGCAAAACTGGCATCCTTTACCTCCAGTCTGAAATGCCACAGCCCATTACACCACAGTTGGGCTTTACCACCCAATTCCTACCCATATGCAAAGCCAGTAGGTCCTCTAAGGATGTGCTCTGTCCTTACTTTATAGGTGGAGGGGAGTAAGAGGAGCAGACAACACTTTCAAGCCCTACTCTGGCATTCAGTGCCTTTGCGAACATCCATGGGTACTGGACATATGACACAAATCGAGAATATACATACTGACAATTACAACCAAGGAAATAGGGTGGCTCCTAAAATCCATATCCCAGGTGTCAACAGCCAATGTGAAAAGGTGCATCTTCAGCATACATCTAATGAAGGTGCCATATACATCTCTGTGGAGAATGAATTCCACAAATTAGGGACCTGTGCCTACTTCAAGAACAGGTTTGTATGAACCCATGGGTTATATATATATAACCTAACTGGGTTCCTGTACAGAGGTACCTCGGGTTAAGAACTTAATTTGTTCTGGAGGTCTGTTCTTAACCTGAAACTGTTCTTAACCTGAAGCACCACTTTAACTAATGGGGCCTCCTGCTGCTGCACGATTTCTGTTCTCATCCTGAAGCAAAGTTCTTAACCCGAGGTAATATTTCTGGGTTAGCAGAGTCTGTAACCTGAAGCGTATGTAACCCGAGGTACCATTGTACTTCTCTTCTGCTTGTAGCTTTCAGTTACAACAAAGGAAGGATTTTGAAGTCTTGGTTATGAATTGCTCCCCCCTGAACACAAACACAACAGCTTGCAATGTGCCATGTTAGTCTACCCATTCCCTGATTCAGGTATATGGCGGGGATGGGCCTACTAAACTACACACACACACACACACACACACACACACACTTCAGCATTTCCTGTGCATTGTACCAGGTACATATTAAAGAGAATGGTCAAACTGACAACAAATATATTTGAGGGCCAACCAACACCATCTGCTCTGTGAGGAGGATGAAGAGAGTGAGGAAGGCAGCTGAAGACATCAGGACCTTATCCAGATGGACTGTACCCTCCCCACCTGGCCAGCTTTACAAGTTAAAGCATTTGTCTAAGTTCTTTAAAATTCTAAACTGCCTTGGCAGAAAGGCAATATATAATGAATGAATGAATGAATGAATGAATGAATGA